TTTTTTTTTTTTTTTTTTTTATTTTTTTTTTATTCGAGAAATTCAACTCTCAAAACACACAAATTTTGTGGCACGTGTCCCCCCATCCTTTTTGGTTTTCGTCACGAGTTCTTTCTTTTCCCCCTTTTTTTTTTTTAAAGGGTCTAAGTTTTCTAATTGTTTTTTGTCATTTTTTTCATTTTAATTTTTATTTTTATTGGAAAAAAAAAAAATAAGAGAAACAATTCTTCTATGCTTGAAAGTTCGCCAAGTTTTCCTCTGATTGAAATTAAATTTTTGTCTATGAAATTTGTTAAGAGTGTTTTTGATTGTTTGATTGATTGATTGATTGATTGATTGGTGTGTTTTATGATTTTTGTTTGTTTTTTATTTTTTTTTTTTTTTATTTTGTTTCGCACGGTATTCGATTATTCATTCATTTTCCTAGGTATTATTATGATAATAATTATCGATATAAATTCTAACACTTTTTGATTAGAACGTTGTTGTGATATTTGTCACAAAATATGATTCGTTGCATCGTTGCATCATTGATCGTTTGTTATAATGAAAAAGGGTTAAGATTCTATCATTAAGATTTTATAATAATTATTATTATTATTATTAATTTGACCATTTTTCATTAGCATCAGTTTTAACACGTTTTAAATATCCTAATATTAGGATTAATAACAGGATCATTCAACTTTTGGTTTTCAATTCGTAGGACACACACAAAAAAATGTTTGTCAAACATTTGTTTAATGAACAATTATATTTTATTTAACGTGTTAAATGATGATGCTGATGATGGTGATGATGGTGATTATTATTATTATTATTATTATTATTATTAATTAATTAATTAATTATTTTAGTCGTAGTCATGGCCGTGCCATGGTAAAATTACGCGCGAGCGAGATTCGAGCTTAGAAACATTGAAATATCGTTCCCCACGTTGAAAATGATTATCAGGTTTATTCATTTCAATGAAATTTTTAATCTTCTTCTAGTTTTTTTTTTTTTTTTTTTGTTATTTTTTAGTGTGCTATTTTTTTTAATTAAATAATAAACAACGTAGAACGATTTTGTAAATGATTTTATCGAAGCACGCTCGAATCGCGGATTACCGCATTGTGTTCAACTCCGTTAATCGCAAAATACTGTGTTATAATGTTTGTTTTTTTTTGTATGTGTGTGAGTGTATTTTGAGTATGAGAATGCGTCTGTTGTGTGTTTTTATGTTTTTTTTTTTTTTTCTATAATTAATAAAAGCAATGTTTTACAATTTTCGTACAATTTTATATATAAAAAAAACAAAAAATGCAAGAGCCAAACCTATAAAGTTCCTATGAATTTTTCCTTATTTTTATGATAAATAATTTTGTATAAAAAAAAAAAAAAAAAGAAAAAGAAGAAGAAGAAGAAGGAAAAAAATGAAAAAGGAACGGTGTATTTTACGAGTAACCATAAATGATTTTAATTCGAGCAGAAATGAAGGTAGTATGGGTTAAGTTGTACATGCAAGGTAACTGGGTGTATGTTCTGTCGAAATTATTGTCAGTGGAGGACATGTTTCTTCCAACAGCAATTGGAAAATCGTCCAACATTTCTACCTGACTGAAGTTAATTCGAGTTGACGACTTACTGGAAGAATAAGAGAAAGCTAGTGTTCTTTCTTTCATTCATTATTAGGGAATAAAAGTCCTTTCTTTCATTTTATTCTACCATTTCTATCGTAGAGCGTTGTTCTTATAAAAATGGGGAGGAGTGGCATGGTGTGGTGTGGTGGGAGGAGGGTTAAAACAGAGTTGGCAAAAATCGTGTCAGGAAAAAATTCACTCTCCCAAAAAGACAATTTGCTCTTGTGCGTTAAATAACTTTCTTCGTATTTTAAATTCCAAAGAAACATTGTAAAAAAAAAAACAAATTAAAAACAAATTCTCAAATTTCCAAAATTTCAATTATTAACAAATTCTAGAAAATTTCATTTACATTTAGTTAACATTGAAATTAAAATGTGTAGTTAAAAATTCAAATTGTAAAAGATAAATTTATAATATTAAGTATATTAATAAATTTAAATTATTATTATTAATATATTAATATTGATATAATATTAATTATACGTTTTTATTAAATAATTATATTTTAATTAATTAGATAATATTTTGTTTACTTTATCATTAACAATATTATTTTTAAACAATTCTATTTATTATCATTATGATTTATGATTTATAGTTAGAACACTGTGAATTTCTCATTAATTAAATTTTAATAAAAACCAAAAAGATTTTGATCGAGCTTTGCTTTAAGGAATGAGGGGGTGGTTACGTAAGAGAAACTCGCCCGTTCCCTGTGATTTCTAACGAAATATCGTCGTCGTCGTCGTCGTCGTCGTTGGCGGGTACATAATGGTGGGTACATAATGGCGGCGGATATAAGGTTAATGACACGAAAGTCAGGTGGCCCCAAACCACACGCGAGTTACGTAAGGTCAGCTCGAATGCTTCTCCGCAAAAGCCGAGTCGTACTCGTTAAAGAGACGTGTCTTTCTGATCCTCCTTTCCCCCCTTCACCTCTCATTCTCTCTCTCTCTCTCTCTCTTTCTCTCTTTGCAAGAGAGTACACGCGTTAATTTATCTCTTGTCGCGAATTATACATAAACACATCTTGTTGGTTCATCTTTTACCCCCTATTTTGTATTTGATTTGATTTGATTTGATTTGATTTTTAATTTTAATATTTACAGTAGTGTTTTTTAGTTTAATATTTTGTATTATTTATTTGCAAATAAGATAATAATAATAATAATAATAATAAAAGAAGTTACATTTAGATTTTATACAATGTTTCTCACGGTATCAAAAATACTGTTCCTTGGTGTCTTGCTTGCGTAACGTCAATTTAGTGCATAATTTTCACACACACACACAAAAAACTCACGAAGCATTCCGGCTGCCATCATTGCCACGAAAACGACGACATTTAAATCGCATAAGAAAAAGTAAGATAAAGATTAAGAGAGAGAGAGAGAGAGAGAGAAAAAAGTACAAATGAACGAACGAAAAAACAAGGCGGTTCTTCTCCGAATGAAATAAAACTTCACATTCACATGCAAGTCATAATGTACAAATCATTTGCTTCATTTTATTTTATTTTATTTTATTTTATTTTATTTTATTGAAATGTTTTTGTTTTCACAATGACAGATCTGTAAATTCATTTGTTAAGTTAGTTTTTTTCATCAAATGTGTCTAAAAATGAAAAAGAAAACATTTGGAATATTTCATGAATTTTTTATTTCACTTACAGTGCATGTGAATGTGGTTTTATTTTATTTTATTGAAGGGTTTTTTTTCACACAATGACAGATCTTTTACTTCATTTTTTAAGTTGGTTTTTTCACGAAATGTGTCTCAAAATGAAAACGTAAATTTACTTTCCAAACACTGGGAATACTTCATGAATTTTTTATTTCACTTACAGTGCATGTGAATGTGGTTTTATTTTATTTTATTGAAGGGTTCTTTTTTACACAATGACAGATCTTTTAC